TGAGAAGCTACGCCCAAGTAGGAGACCTGGAAGGAACACCTGGCTCCTGGTTTTGGTCTAGCCACACCTGCACCATTGTAAACTAGTACTAGGGGGATGAATCAGCAGAGGAAAGGTGTCTATGTCTCATTCCTATTCCTGTAACTCTGCTTTTCAAATAGAAGAAACAAGTCTCAAACAAAACAAAACAAAAAGAATGAATGTGAAGGGAAAAGCCAGGTGAATCTTAGCCAGGTGAAGACACGCTCAAGTGAGCATCTGACCGCTGTGCGGGGAGACTGCACACAGCGAGGGCTGCCACACCCAGGGCCGCCAGGGGACCCACAGACACCCCAGCCCACACATTCCAGGCTCTCAGAGAACCCTCAGCCGGACCACCCGCTTCAGCACCTGCACCTGCGAGCACCCACTGTGCCATGAAGGCGGGCAAGGCCATGGGCTGCAGCTCACCTTCCACTGCTCACAGGCAGGGCTGTGACATGATGTCCACGAGAGGAGTCCGAAGGCCTCGTGCCATTTCCTGCTGTGGGCAATGTGCTGCCAGGACGAAGGAGGCATAGCCACACGGAAGGCAACTCCCTCCAAGGCTGACTACCGGGAGACTGAGACCAGGGCACAAGGCAGCTGAGATGAGGGGCAGGTAATAGAGGAAGAGAGAAAAACACACACACATACATACACAGACAGCTAATACACACAGAGAGAAAGCTAGAACAGGTAAGAATTACCTGCACCCCCTTGCCAACATATTAAAATGTCCTTTTCTACCAGCTGACCCCCACACGCTCTGTACTTCTGAGATCTGCCAGCTGGGGGCCACATATCCCACACCCCACTCCACCAGCTAGTGTCATGTATGTGAACTTCACATGCATTCTACAAGCACCAGGTCCCCAGCAGTGCCATTCCCCTCGGTCCCACTGGTGAGGGGCAGCCAGTCAGCCAACACTGACCCGAGCTCACAGGGTGTGGGTAACACCCCTGGGACCACAATGCCTTTGGCAGGCAGAGCGGCATTCAGGAGGCTCGCCTTAGGGCCAACAAGTAGGACTTGGTCAGTCCTAGGCTCCTGGCTCTGTCTCTGCTCCTACAAACCCATGCCCAGCCTGGGACATCTTCTGAAGCCCCTAGGGCAGTTCCTCTCCACCTCCCTGCCCCTCCACTCTTCAGAGACACCATGGGAACCTAGGGAGAGTCAGACAGGAACCTGGTGTCAATGCAGGCTGACATCTGCTGAGCTCTGTGACCTGGGACCTGCCACCTAACCTCTCTGAGTTCCCTCACCCCACCATGCATGGCAGTGATCCTTGTCTTGCAGAGCTGCGAGGGGTTGTAAAGGGAGGGGGTTCCCAGTGTCCCCGGCTTACCAGGGAGTCCTTGCTGGTCCAGCTGTCCTCAGCGTCGCCTGCCGTGCGTCCTTGAGATGAGACTTGTTCTTCCAGCCAAAAGTTCCTGTGCACCCAAAATGGAAACCGAAACTCACCGTTACCTAGGTCACCATCACACCCACCCTGCAACACGCAGTGGGTTGGTCCCACTTTAGCCCAACCCTGCCCCCTCCTGCCCAATGAGAGGAGGCATCACTCCACTCCATGCTGCCTGCCTCTCCCCTCACCTTTGGCCTTGAACGCAGGGATTAGGGATCTGCTGGTCCACACGTCCTCAGTGTTGCCTGCCTAGCGTCCGTGTGATGACACTAGTTCTTCCAGCCAGATATAAATGTGCATACAAAAGGAAAATCGAAATTTACTGACCAAAAAGACTCAGCTTCACACCTACAAAGCAAACAAACAATGGCCTGGCCAAGCCTCAGCCCTGCCCGCCCCTCACTGCCCCAGTCAGAGGAGACACCCTGTGGACTTCCTCCTTCTCCCTGGCCCCTTGGCCTGAATTCTGTGGCTAGACTCAGAACTGCTGCCAACTTCAGCACAGAGGTCAGCTCCTGGACCACCGCCAGCACCACCTAGTGGAAGCCGGGAGGCTCAGCAGGCAAGGGCACAGCCTGCTTGCCCTTGGAGAAGCAGGCTCAGTGGACCTGGACACAGCTGCCAGCCCCACCCCACACCCTCTGACTGTCTTTCCTCACACGGGAAAACCGGGCCTGAGCACCAAGCACCAACCTCATGGCAGCTCAGTACAGTCTACAGATGACAACAGCCCACCCAGAGCCTCATGCTCTAGGGATGCAGGAGAGACTGATGTGAGCTCCTGGAAAGGCAGAATCAGACAGAGCAGCAGACACACAGACAATCCCCCATCTGCTGATTCACTTCCCAAATGGCTGCAACAGAGCAAGCTGGCCCAGGCTGGAGTCCCCTGTGAGTGCAGGGCCCACACATTTGAACCACTTCTGCTGAATCCCCAGATGCATTATCGGGGAGCTGGATGGAAGTGGACCCAGGTCTTACACTGGGACCCATCCATATGGGAATCTATTGTCACAAGTGTTGGCTTAACTGTTGTTAAGGAAAATCTTTATCTTTCATCTTCCTCCTCTATAATTCTGCCGTTCAAATAAATACAACACACAAAACAAAGAGTATTTAACCATGTTGATTTCCAGCTGGGAGGCTGCCTGCTAAGTGTATACAGTCACAGGGTTAGCCAAGAGATACACAGGCAGCAGTGTCCAGTTTAACATGTCCCCTAATTGAAGCAGCTGGGCATGGTGAGCAGACCCTCACAGTGACACTTGCTGGCAGCTCAGGAACCTGTGCCAAGAGGTGCCATCAAGTTTCATCTCCCACCTGGCAGTCACCAAGGAGGTCCTTGTCTGGCACTTGCCCTTAGGCACAGTAAGCCCTGGATTCTGTGGAAAACAGCCATTCCCCAGTGACCCAGGGGTTCCACTGCTGGGGACAGAAGCCAAAGTATCAAAAACAGAGACACCTGTGTCCACAGCCATTATCCCTGACAGCCCCAAAAGGCAGCACCATCCAAATGCCCACGAGCCTGTGAGTGGAAGCAGCACACGGCACCGTGCTGTGCTACCTGCAGTCAGCCTTGGAAGGAAGGGGTTAACACCTGCCACATGCCCGTGGATGACCCACATGCACACTCGGCTCCCACTTAAGCCACTGGGAAGTGAGGGACAGCAGATGAGGCAGAGCAGGTGGTCCCCGAGGCTGTGTGGCATGTGGCTTAGATGTGTAGCTCTGGGAGCTAAATGTTGCATACCTAAGTGTTCCCTCACTCACAGGCCATGGTGTCTCGCCAGGACGGGGGCCCAGGAAAAGGCATCCTTGAAGCTACAGACCACCCAAAGGCAGATTCAGCAAGAGTTGGAATACTAAACTGAAGTGCAGGGATGAAGCCATGGGTCCCTGTTCCTGAGCTTGGAAAAAAGACTCACTATGTGGTATCTAGTATGACCTGAGCACAAAGGCCACGGGGCTAGGCTGCCCTGGTGGTGGGTGGCTCTACTCCACAGGTAGACCAGAAGTCAGCTGTATTTGCCACAGCCTCCTCTAGGTTGTTGGTTTCTACCTTGGAGTCGGGTGGGGACAGCAGGAGCCCCGAGTGGATGGTCCCTGACCAAGGAACATCAGACAACCTATGGACCAGCCAATCAGCGAACACAGAAAAGGCTCCAGGTCTGAGTCCATTGTTCTGGAATATTTGTTTATTTGTTTGCTTTGAAAGTCAGAGTTACAGAGAAAGAAGGTGAGACACTGAGAGAGATCTTCCACCTGCTGTTTCAGTCACCAGATGGCCACAATAGCCAGACCTGAGCTGGTAGGGCACAGGCCCTTCCTCCAGGTCCCCCATACCTTGTCAGGACCCCGGGACCTGGGCCTGCTTTTACTGCTTTCCTAGGCACTCCAGCAGAAAGCTGGATTGGAAGTGGAGCAGCAGGGACTCAAACCAGCACCCATTTGGGATGCCTGCACCACAGCAGGCAGAAGCTTAACCTGCCATGCCATGGGGTCAGCCCCTCTCAGTCAAACTATTCCTGACAGGAGTCAAAAGATGTCTTGAATGCAAAGCGGGTAGAGCCTGACACTTCTGAGATTTCTTTTAATCCTGCACTCCTTCTTCAGCTGAAGAAGAGGTTGAGGTTCAGTGAGGCAGCACCTTGGGGTGGTCACTCACACAACACCACAACTCCATGACCTCTCCTGGCTCCTGGTGTCTGTTGCCCATCTCAAAGCCAGCCCCGATCCTGTCACACATTAGCAGTGACCCTGGAACCTGGTGGGCCCACAATATTTGCTAGTCCCAGAAAGGTCTTGCAAGGGCCTTGCCCCCTATGAAGACTTCCCTGCCAGCCTCCAGCTCTGGCTGCCTTCCGGGACAAGTCCCCTGGGATGCAGACAGCACTGGGAGCACCCCCACCTTCCATGGAAAGGCCTGCTGTTGGCGGGGCTTCCAGCTGGGGAGAGCCTGGGTGGTGGAACCTTGCTTTGGGTGGCAGGCTTCCAGCTGGGGAGAGCCTGGGTGGTGGAGCCTTGTTCTGAGTGGCAGGCTTCCAGCTGGGGAGAGCTCAGGTAGAGACCAGCTTGGGCGGTGGAGCACCACCTCGCCTTCCATCCACCAACCTCTCCTGGCTCTGGCTTCCTCTCACTTGCAGCCCTCTAGGGGCTTGTCACTGCATGCCTGGCTCTCTCCATGCCCTGACTGCATTCTTAGTCATCAATACACAGTTCACCAGAACCCTCTCCCACTGCCACGTTCATGCCCCAGTCCCCCATCACTGACTCCTCTCTCAGCCACTCCTGTCACCTCTGACCTCACCCCTAGGCATGCTCTCACCCCACACCCCATACTTCTCGCCTTTTCATGTATTCCAGACTCCAGACTTCTGCCTTGTCTCTGACCTGTATGCTATCTACCATCCCTCCTTGGGCTCAGCTACAACAATGTCAAGTTCCTTAATGCCCAGAGCAGTAAACATTATCTCAGCATCCTTGTGCCTTAAAAAATATGTCTGCTTGCTGGGCTCCTGTCAGTGTGACCCCACTGACTTGGGCATTGGCCCTGGCTCACTCAACCATGTCCTCCTACAGGCTCCTGTAGATCTCCATGAGCTGTGCCAACTTCTCTTCCAGCTGCTGAGCCCGCTGCCGCAGATCTTGAGCCAACTCAGAAGGGGCACCCTGATGCAAGTGCACTGAATCTTGGATAAGGCTGACCACATCCATCAGAAGGAAGACACCGGCAGTGGCAGCACCTGCAATGCGAGCTCCCTTGGTCATGGCCAGAGCAGTGCCCCCAAAAGCTTTCTGCACCTGCCTAGTGCTGCGGGCTGAGATCTTCCCTGCAGTCATGAATTGCTTAGCACTGGCCAAAAGGCGCGGGTTTGCCTGTGCAATATTGATGGCGTGGACGTTCTTCCCAACATCTTCCAGGACCTCAATGAACCTACGGCTTACATTGAGAATTTTGGGGACACTCTGACCCACAGCCTTTGCAACCAGCTCCACTTGGTTGACGCTGCTCGACGTGATGCGGCTAGCTTTCTCTTCTGCTGATGCCCTTGTTCCGCTGTCCACAAGGGTAGAGGTCAAACCGGTCACTGCAGCTGCTGTGCCCAACCCTATCCCTGTGGCTGTGAGTGCCAGGCTGACTCCTGCAGTCACAGGGGCCAGAGCCAGTCCAGCGATGCTCAGGATGCCAGAGACGGTCCCAGTGGAGGAAGCTACCACGTTGGTGATGGTGCAGTCCCGGTGCACCTTGCCCACCTTGTCTGCCAGGGCGTGCAGCTTTGCTATTTTCTCCTCCAGCTGCGCTTTCACCTGTGGAAACTCCTCCAAAAACTTCTTCCTGTCCTGCTGCTCTCTTCGGTGTGCTCCATCTTCTGGCTCCGTGTCCTCTGGTTCCTTGTCCTCTGGCTCCATGTCCTCTGGCTCCGTGTCCGTGTCTGTGTAATAACTGAGCAGGGCTTCACGTAGCGCATGTGCCTCCTCACTGTAACAACAAAGGTCACATGATGAGGACAGGCAGCCTGTGGGTCTGTGAAATGGGCTGGGGAAGCTGGATCCTGGCTAAGTCAGCACCTGCACTGCCAGTCAGGGAGGGAAGGAACTCACGCAGGTAAAGAATCTCCCCTTCAGAGTCTCTACGGTTTGTGTCATACAGATGTTCTATAGAATGTACTCATTGAGGAAGTAAAAACGTAAAAGTGACAATTTTACAAAATAATCAAAAGGGTTGCAGAGAGACGGAGAGAGAGAGAGAGAGAGAGAGAGAGAGAGAGAGAGAGAGACAGAGACAGAGAGAGGCTGGTTTATTCCAAAAATGGCCAGGTCTGGGACAGTTCAAAGCCAGAGCGAAGAGCCAGGAGCTTCTGCTGGGTCTCCCACGTGGGTTCAGGGACCCATGCACTTGGGCCATCCTCTTTTGCCACCCAGGTGTATTAGGAGAGAGCTGGATTAGATGTGGAACAGCCAGGACTTGAACTGGTGCCCATATGAGATGCTAGCTCACAGACAGTGGCTTAGCCCACTATGCCACAGTGCTGGCCCTTTATAAATGTCCTTTTAAGATGCTATGAAGGTCTAGTAGTTTGGCCAAATGGGTCAGGCTGTTCCCTACATTTCCAGCATCACTTATAAGCTCAGGTTCAAGTACCAGCTGCTCCACTTCGGATTCTGCTCCCTGCCAGTGTGCCTGGCAGAGTAGTGGAGGATGGTCCGAGGGCTTGTGTCCCTGCACCCACGTTGGGGACCTGGCTGGTGTTCCAGGCTCCTGGTTTCAGATGTTGTAGCCATGTGGAGTGGACCAGCAGATGACTCTCACACAACTGTTCTCAGTGTCTGTCTCTAAGCTGGCTTTCAAATAAACAAATAAACAAATAACACTAGTGTTCTAAAGCTGTTTGTAGTGGGGTATTACCTAACAAGGATGCTTTCTCACTCAAGGGCCAGTCCCTGGTGTCACTAATGCAGTGTCTCTGGTGGGGGCACTCGGGATGGACGAACAGATAGAAGAGTGATTGGAGGGAAAAGTGTCATGTCACTGCGGGGCTGAGTGTGCAATGTAGAGGCAGCCCACCAACCAGGGGTCACCCCAAGTGCTCAGGTTCTGGGGAACACACAGCCTGCAGGGTCTGTCAGCTCACCTGGAATTTGCATGCACACCATAGGAGGACCTGACATGTGGGGAGATGTGGACAGCTTGACCAGGGTCCCCCAGTGATTACCTGGACAATTCTGCCCCACGCACGAATATCTCCCAGGCCTCGTCTTCCGCCAACAGCCGCTGCAGCTCCTCACTGCTCAGTGTCTTCCTGATATACTCAATGATGTCTGCAAAGCAGCTTTCGTCATCTGCTCAGACAGAAAGCAGAGCAAGCTGAGAGAGGGGTGGGGATGCATGTGTGACCTGAGTGGGAGACAGCCACATGTGCCAGATTCTCCTGGAGCAGGTGCCACATGGAGATTCTGATGGAGTTACTGGGATTGGGGACCCAAATGAAGCGCCAACCCCAGGGACTGTATTTGGGCACAGAGTTCCAAGACATGGACAGAAAGCAGGTCCCTGATCTCCTCCCTGTCTCCCTGTCTCCCTGTCTCTTTGTCTCCACACACAGGAAACAACGCAAGGAGAAAGCGCCCTCTGCCAACCAGGAAGAGAGCTGTCCCCATGCTGCAGCCCAGCTCTCACCTTGAGCTTGGACTTCTGGTCTCCAGGACTGAGACCCAGCAGGCAAGGCTGGCCGCAGCACCGCACCCAGGGGTGTTTGTGAGCAGAGCAGAGCAGAGCAATGCACCTGGCGCTCACCAGCTCAGAGCCTCCAGCAGGTATGGGATACAGCCCAACGAAGGGCAAGATCCCATGATGGCCTCACGCCCTTCCACCTGTGCCTTCCCACCTGAAGCTCAGCCACAAGTGGGCCGTGGAATTAGTGTACTGGGATGAGAGTGACACTTCCAAAGATTTCACTAACTTGCCTTTTTCTCTCTATGCTTAGCAAAGAATTACCTTTCTAAAATGTTCACAATTTAAAATATATATCTGTGAGTTCTATATTCTACTATATTGTGTTGCTGTAGGCTTTTGTAACTAAAAAGCAGCACCCGCATCCAATATGAGCACCAGTTCAGGGCATAGCTGCTCCTCTTTCAATCCAGATTCCTGCTCGTGTGCCTAGGAAGGCAGCAGAAGATGGTGCAAGGGCTTGGGCCCTGTACCCATGAAGACCCCGAAGGAGCACTGGTTTGCATTATTTACTGCCCCCCACCAATGTGGACTGAGGTGCCTAAGGTGTCCCTGTAGACCCAAGAGAGCCCACCTGGCTGAACACAGGGGCCACATCCAAGGTGCAGCAGCAGGAAGAAGTGTGCCTACCTGGGACCATGGTGTCATCGCCCCCCTGTTCATCTTCCTCATGGCTGCCAGCTGTGCCATGGTCTTCCTCCTTGCTCTCCATCTTCACTGCTGTCCAGGGAGAGAAGAAAGCAGCTGTGGGTGGCAGAGAACTTTGGGGGCCTGATAGCGTGAGTTTGTGGTGCGGGTGTTGAGGCTGCTACAACGTGGTATACCTGGAAGCAGCTCCAGGTTCAGTCTGGCCCAGCCCCAGCCATTGCAGATTGCAGGAGCGAGTCAGATTCTGTCTGTCTCCCTTCTCTCACTGTAACTGCTTTGTAAATAAATAAAAACAAATCTCCAAAATTTACAATTTTAACAATAAAGCTGAGGCCAGCACCACAAAGTGAGGTGACAAGGATGCTTCAGTGGGGACTCTAGGGCAGGTTCTGATCAAACCCATGTCCTGAGCAGTGTCTCCCTTAGATTCGCTGTCAGACTAGCTCACGTGTGCGTGCTTGTGGAAGCTCCTCCACCTGTGCCCAGGTCGCTCTTGGTCCATTGCCTGGGCTGCAGCCACCCAAATCTGTCCTCTGCTTCCTCCTGCCGGGTCTTTCCATGGGTGCCCCTAACCCTGCCCAGCCCTGGCCAGGTCCCTCCCATGGATGTAGCGCCATCCTTGGGAGTGCAGGCTGCCCCTCCCTGCCAGAACCCCACTCGATTCTTCTCCTTTATGTAAAGGCCAAGAATATTGGGCTTGCCAAACGCTGCCCACACTTGGGATTGCTTTCTTGAGGTTTTTCTGGAAGTGAGATGACTACAAGGGCATATAGCAACAATATGTGAATATTTCTGAGGCCCAGAAACATGGTTATGTGACATGAGGGGACAAGCTGGCCAGGTCAGAAGGAGCTCTGTCAGGCTCACTGGGTCTCAGCTGACCTGAGTTCTAAAAATCAGAGTTAGAACGGGAGAGGGTCTTAAGGTCTGCTGCTGGGGCTCAGGCCTCGAGCTGAGACAGGAAACAAACAAGAATGGTGGGTAGGCACTGGGTTCAGAAGGCCAAATGGCCCCTGGCCACAGTCCCTCCAGAGAACTGCCTGAAACTGTGGCCACGGCAGTCACGTCTCATGCAGATATGGGCAGTTACCAACCAACATGGCCCTCACCTGTGGACTTTGCCCTGCCTGGGCCCAGCCCTGAGACTGCACAGCCTACTCCCGATAACCTGTGAGTGTTTCATGAGCAGCAGGTGCCACCCTGATACAAGGAAGGGAGCACCAATGACAGGGACAGGGCCACACTCAGAAATCCCATACATAGGAGCTGGCATTGCAACCTGTAAGGATTTAAGCTACTCTGGCATCCCTTACAGGAGTTGGTTCAAATTCTGGTTGCTCCCCTTCTCATCCAGCTCCCTGCTAATGCCCTGGGAAGGCAGCAGGAGATGGCCCACATGGTTAGACTACTGGGAGATCCGGGTGAGGCTCCTGGCTTCAGCCTGGCACAGTCCAGGTCCCTGGGTCATTTAGGGAGGGAGCTGGTACCATCTTCTCTGGCTCTCAGTGTCTCCCTCTCTCCTCTGTCACTTTCCCTTTTAAATATATAAATGTTGTTCTTTCTTTTTATGTAGAAAGAAAGGTAAGTGATAAATATTGGGCCCAGGCAGCCAGATGAGCCCCAAAGCAACTTACGGCTTTGGCTTGCCCTCTGAAGACCTGTGGGTCAACAAACAATTGAAAAGACAGAATGGATTGAGGGAGTGACAGCAAGGAGGGGCATGGTTGACCAGTTGCTACAAAGAGACACATGACCTAATGAGAGACCTGGAACAGAGACAGAGGGCAGGGTGATGGCTGGAAGCCAGCCCTGTGCCCAGCTAATGGCCGCCCAGGGTTCATGGCACACCCTGCCCAGGGTGACAGGGACAGTGTTAGGAAATTGTAGGCTGAATTGAAAGTGCCTAAGGGATCGCGGCACCATGGCCTAGTGCCTCAAGTTCTTGCCATGAACACACCAGGATTGCATATAATCACCGGTACTAATCCTGGCGACCGGCTTCCCATCCAGCTCCCTGCTTGTGGTCTGGGAAAGCAGTCAAGAATGGCCCGGCCCAAAGAATTGTGACTTTGCACCAGCATGGGAGACGAAGAAGAGCTCCTGGCTCATGGCTTCAGCTTCGGATATGCACAGTACCAGTCGTTGTGGTCACTTGGGAAGTGAATCATCAGATGGAAGATCTTTCTCTCTGTTTCTCCTTCACTCTGTATATCTGACTTTGAATAAAAATAAATAAACCTTTTTTTTTTTAAAGTAGTGCATAGGGAACACGTCCTTGGGTGCTGGTGCTCAGTCCTCCTACTGGGAATCCTGGGCAGGAGAGCTCGGGCCAGATGTGCAGGAGGAGAATAACCAGCCAGTGTGACCAGACGACAACTACAGTGCAGCCTCAGGAGGAAGGAGCACTTGTGAACATAGAATATTCCAGAAAGCAAGGAGGCTTTCCAAGATGCTTGCAGCAGGTCTCCCAGGGGTGCCCACCTGTGGCTCCTCCTCCCAATCATCCAGTCAGGGCCCCTCCTGGAGCAGGTCCCTACTAACCCCATCTCCTGGGTGCCCAAGGGCCTCCTCCCTCCTGTTCAAGCAGGGACAGGGCGCCCGGCTCCACAGCCAGGTCACAGGCCTCGCAGGAGCTGCTGCCGCCCTGTCTCCTCTACTCTCTTCACCCTCCCTGCCCTGTGTCCCCCAGGTGTCGGGGCACCCGGCACCCCAGCCACCTCCTGCCAAACGGACACCGGTCAGTGCTCCCTGTCCCCGGGAAGCCTGCCTTTTCCCTGTCTCCTACACTTCCTGTCATCAAAAGCCCAGCTCTGTCTCCATGGTCACTCCTTCCAGGCCAAAACACACAGGACCATGACTCTGAGGTCACCCACCTCCTCACTCAAGGGCCCCTCCAGAACCAGGTCACGTTTCTGCCAGATAAACTATTCTCTTGGTGTTCTAGCAGAAGGCTGATCGGCAATGGCAGTGGGTAGTGCAAGCTGACCCAAAGTGCCAACTCCCCCCACGAGACCTGCTCCCTGCCCAGCCCTCACACCCAGCCTGTTCACTGCCAGGAGCTCTAAAGGGGTTGGGGGAGACAGGTCATGGTCATGTCCTCCTGGCCACTCCCTGGAAGCCACCCCAACACATCTGGCCCCGTTCACATCACAGGGACCCATCAGAGAAGGCCCACATTCCCGACTAGGAGGGAACCCGGGTGGCTCACACTCCATCAACCTCCCAGGGATCTGAGTGGGCAAGAGAAGGAGCCCGCCCCCTCCAAGTGCACCAGGAGCCGTGGGGGCAATCCTGTGGGGCTGGGGACTTTATTGCCAGAAGCAACAAAGGGAGAGCCTGATACACTGGATCTCTGAACAGTTAATGCTAAGCCAGCACCATGGCGTACCATGCTAATCCTCTATTAGTGTTGCCCACGTGCCATAAGGATGCTGGTCTGAGTTCCAGCTGCTAAACTTCCCACTCAGCTCCCTGCTTGTGATAAGTAAAAACGGAGTCTTCAGTAGACAAGAGATTGTACTAATCAGCTTGAAAACCAGTTGTTTTTTTTAAAGATTTATTTATTTATTGGAAAGTCATATATACAGAGAGGAGAGACAGAGAGAAAGATCTTCTGTCCGCTGACTTACTCCCCAAGTGACCGCAACAGCTGATGCTATGCCGATCCGAAGCCAGGATCCAGGAGCTTCTTCTGGGTATCCCACACGAGTGCAGGGTCCCAAAGCTTTGGGCCATCTTCAACTGCTTTCCCAGGCCACAAGCAGGGAGCTGGATGGGAAGTGGAGCTGCCAGGATTAGAACCGGCACCCATATGGGATCCCAGAGTGTTCAAGGCGAGGACTTCAGCCGCTAGGCCATGCCGCCAGGCCCGAAAGCCAGTTTTTTAAAAAATGGTTCAGGGCCTAGCACAGTAGTCTAGTGGCTAATGTCCTTGGTTTACATGCCCATATGGGCGCCTATTCATATCCTGACTGCTGCTCATCCATTCCAAATTGTAGTCTTGGAAAGCAAGCAGTAGAGGAATGCCCAAAGGCTTGGAACCCTGCACCCACATGGCGACTTGGAAGAAGCTCCTGCTTTCTGGCTTCAGCCATTTTGGGAAAAAACAGTGGATGGAAGATCTTTCTCTCTGTCTCTCCTTCTCTCTATAAATTTGACTTTCCAATAAAAATAAATAAATCTTAAAAAAAAAAAAAATAACAGGGCCCGGCGCAATGGCGCAGTGGTTAAGGTCCTCGCCTTGCATGCCCAGGATCCCATATGGGCGCCGGTTCTAATCCCAGCAGCCCCGCTTCCCTTCCAGCTCCCTGCCTGTGGCCTGGGAAAGCAGTCGAGGACGGCCCAAAGCTTTGGGACCCTGCACCCGTGTGGGAGACCCGGAAAAGGCTCCTGGCTTTGGATCGGCATAGCATCAGCTGTTGCGTTCACTTGGGGAGTAAATCATTGGACGGAAGATCTTCCTCTCTGTCTCTCCTCTCTGTATATCCGCCTTTCCAATAAAAAATAAATAAACCTTTAAAAAACAGACAAACAGTGGTTCAAAGAAGCAAACTAAGGGGCCAACCTCGTGGTACAGCACATTCAGCCACTGCCTGTGACACTAGCATCCCATAAAGGCATTGGCTTGAGTCTTGGCTGCTCCACTTCTGATCCAGCTCCCTGCTACATACCTGGGAAAGCAGCAGAAGATGACCCACGTGCTGGACACTACACCCCAGAAGGAAACCCGGAACGAGCCCCTGGCTGCTGGTTTTGGTCTAGCCATGACAACACCATTGTAAACTAATTGCGGATGACTGAGCACATAGGAGATATCTCTGCCTCACCCTCCACTTCCTGTAACTCTGCATTTAAATAGAACAAACAAACCTTAAATAAGAGAAGAGATGTTAACCGACTGAAGGGAAAAGCCAGGTGACCCCTAGCCGGTTAAAGAGACGGTAGTGTTCGCTGCGGACACACGGGGCGAGGGGAGTGCAGAGGGCTGCACAGGGGGGCTGCACACACCGAGGGTTGCCACACCCAGGGGCACCAGGAGCCCCACAGACACCCCAGCCCACACATTCCAGGCTCTCAGAGGACCCTCACCAAGCCCACCTGCTTCAGCACTTAACCATCCAGCACTCATGAGACACACCACGCCATGAAGGCTGGCAAGTCCACAGGCTGCAACTTGGCTTCTACTGCAGAAGAGCAGAGGGGAGTCGGGGGCCTTGTGCCCCTCCCACTTTGGATCAGTAAACTTTCCAGAGAAAAGGAGAGGCAGAAGCATGGAGGGCAACACCCTCCATGGCTGACAACCAGGAGATTGGATCATGTGGCCAGGAAGCTGTGTCTGAGAAGCAGGTAGGAGACACAGAAGAGGGAGCGAGAGTGAGCTCTGGTACAGGCAAGACTTACATGCTGCCCACTGCCAACATATTAAAAGGCCTTTCATTCCAGAAGTACACCACACACTCTGTACTACTGCCAGCTGGAGGCTACATACCCACACCCCAAAACAGCACCTCTGCTCTCCTTGCTCATGCTGCATCACGGCAGCCAGAACAGGTCAGCAACCTGCTGCTAGGCAGAAATCAGTTAGCGAACCCTGACCCGAGCTCACAGGGTGTGGGTAACACTCCTGGGACCACAATGCCTTTGGCAGGCAGAGTGGCATTCAGGAGGCTCGCCTTAGGGCCAACGAGTAGGATTTGGTCAGTCCCAGGCTCCTGGCTCTGTCTCTGCTCCTACAAACCCATGCCCAGCCTGGGACATCTTCTGAAGCCTCTGGGGCAGTGCCTCTCCACCTCCCTGCCCCTCCACTCTTCACAGACACCATGGGAACCTAGGGAGAGTCAGACAGAAACCTGGGTGTCAATGCAGGCTGGCACCTGCTGAGCTGTGTGACCTGGGACCTGCCACCTAACCTCTCTGAGCTCACTCACCCCACCATGCATGGCAGTGATCCTTGTCTTGCAGAGCTGCGAGGGGTTGTAAAGGGAGAGGGTTCCCAGTGTCCCCGACTTACCAGGGAGTCCTTGCTGGTCCACCCGTCCTAAGTGTTGCGCACCGAGCGTCCGTGTAATGAGACTTGTTCTTCCAGCCAGAAGTTCCTGTGCACCCAAAATGGAAACCGAAAGCCACTTTACCTAGGGGTCACCATCACACCCACACTGCAAGCATGCAGTGTGTTAGTCCCACTTTAGCTCAACCCTGCCCCCTGCTGCCCAATGAGAGGAGGCATCACTCCATGCTGCCTGCCTCTCCCCTCACCTTTGGCCTTGAACGCTGGGATTAGGGATCTGCTGCCAGCCTCAGCACAGAGTTTAGCTCTAAGGGCCACCACCTTGTGCACCACCTTGTGCACCCTCTGACTGTCTTTCCTCAAATGGCCAACTGGGCCTGAGCACCAGGCAACGGCCTCAGGGCAGCTCAGTACACAGTCTACAGATGACAACAGCCCACCCAGAGCCTTCAGGCTCTAGGGATGCAGGAGAGACCGATGTGAGCTCCTGGAAAGGCAGAATCAGACAGAGCAGCAGACACACAGAGACAATCTCCCATCTGCTGATTCACTTCCCAAATGGCTACAACAGCGGGAGCTGGCCCAGGCTGGGGCCAGGAACCTGGAACTCCATCCTGGTCTCCCCTGTGAGTGCAGGGCCCACGCACTTGAGCCACTTCTGCTGCTTCCCCAGGTGCATTATCGGGGAGTTGGATGGAAGTGGAGCAGCCAGGTCTTGCACTGGGACCCATCCATATGGGATTCTGATGTCACAAGTGTTAGATAACTGCTGTGCCACAGTGGATGGAAGATCTCTCTCCATCTCTCCCTCTCTGTGTAACTTTGCTGTTTATAAAAATATAACTCACAAAGAAAGAGTGTTTAAACAGATCATGCCTCCATAGTTGATTTCTAGTGGGAAGGCTGCATGTTAAGTCTGAGCAGTCACAGGGTTAGCCAAGAGATACACAGGCAGCAGTGTCAGTTTAACAGGTCCCCAACTGAAGGAGTGTGGAGCAGCAGCTGGGCATGGCAAGCAGACTCCCACAGCGACACCTGCTGGCAGCTCAGGAACCTGTGCCAAGAGGTGCCACCAAGCTGGCAGTCACCCAGGAGGTCTCTGCCTGGCACTTGTCCTTAGGCACAGTAAGCCCTGGATTCTGTGGAAAACAGCCATTCCCCAGTGACCCAGGAGTTCCACTGCTGGGGACAGAAGCCAAAGTATCAAAAACAGAGACACCTGTGTCCACAGCCATTGTCCCTGACAGCCCCAAAAGGCAGCACCATCCAAATGCCCACGAGCTTGTGAGTGGAAGCAGCACATGGCATCATGCTGTGCTACCTGCAGTCAGCCTTGGAAGGAAGGGGTTAACACCTGCCACATGCCCGTGGGTGACCCTGGGAGACCTGATGCCCCAGGAGACAAGCCAGACAGCACAGCCTATGCAGTCCCTCCTGTGTGTGCCTAGGGTGTGGAAGGCCTCATAGACGGGGACTCTTTCACTGTGACAATATTCTAGGTCAGCAAAACACACAACTCAAATGGCTCCAGGTGCAGCTTGGGCAGGTTGCTCAGCGCCATGATTCAGTGCTGCTTGTTACTGAGGAGCCAACAGTTCTACTACCCCTTATGGCTGGAACTCCCCACAGGAAGGGAACAGAGGGTCTGGGGGACCCTTGTCCTAACGGCCTGTGCTCTCTGCAGGAACAGAGTCAGAGCAGGGCACAGCTTCATTCTCTCTGCCCCACCACCCCTCCTCTCTTGACCCTCAGTGTCACACCTGCCCCTTTCCAGAATGTGCTCTCTGAACTCCTATCCATCCCTCCCAGGGGTGCGATTTACAGAGAGCATCTCTGAGCACAGACAGCCAGCACTCTTTCTGTGTGGGGTATTCACTGTGCTGTGCAAAAAAAAAAAAAAAAAGAAAGAAAAAAGAAAAAGAAAAAAAGAAAAGGTTCAGCTCCTCCTGCCCCAGACCCTGGGTCTCAGCTCCCACTTCCTCCCACCTAGTCTACCTGGGAAGTGAGGGAAAGGAGGTGAGGCAGAGCAGGTGGTCTGCGAGGCTGTTTTGCAAGGGGTTTGTCTGGGCAGCTCTGGGAACCGAGAGCTATATACCTCCATGGCCCGGACTCATGGGCCATGGTGCCTGGCCAGGAGTGGCCCAGGAGAAGCCAACCTCAAAGCCACACTCCAACCAAAGAAAGATTTGGTACGAGTAGGAGGACTAAAGAAAAGGGCAGGGTTGAAACCGAGATTTGTCCCTAGGTTGTGGGACTAAGAATCACCAGGCAGCATCCAGCAGACTCGATGGCATCAAGCCTCCAGGGCCTGGACACAAACGCCCACAGCTCCACAGGTCAACCACAGGTCTTCTCTGTTGCGCAGCTGCCACCACTATGGCATTGGTTTTCTGTCATGGAGTCGGGTAGGGACAGCAGAAGCCCTGGGAGGAAGGTCCCTGAGGAAGACTGCAGATTCAAAGGGACAAGCCAATCAGTAAGCACAGAAAAGACTCCAGGTCTGAGTCCATTTTGTGGAATATTTGTTTGCTTTGAAAGAGTTATGGAAAAATAAGTGAAACAGATTTTCCACCTGCTGCTTCACTCCCCAAGTGGTTATAACTTTCCTCCAGGTGCCTCATACCTTGGGGGGGATCAAGGACCTAAGCCATCTTTTATTGTTTTCCCAAGCATATTAGCAGAGAGCTGGATTGGAAGTGGAGCAGCAGGGACTCAAACCAGCACCCATTTGGGATGCCTGCACCACAGCAGGCAGAGGCTTAGCCTGCCATGCCATGGGGTCAGCCCCTCTCAGTCAAACTGTTCCTGACAGAAGTCAACAGATGTCTTGAATGCAAGGCAGGTAGAGCCTGACACATCTGAGATTTCTTTTAATCCTGCACCCCTTCTTCAGCTGATGAAGAGGATGAGGCAGCACCATGGGGTGATCAGACTCCACACACCACAACTCCATGACCTCTCCTGGCTCCTGGTGTCTGTTGCCCATCTCAAAGCCAACCCTGATCCTGTCACACATTAGCAGTGGCCCCGGAACCTGGCTGGCCCACAGTGTTAGCAAGTTTCAGAAAGTCCTGACCCTGGGCCCCACACCCTCTGTGGCGGTCACTGCCAGCCCCAGCCCTGGCTAACTTCGGGGAAAAGTCCACTGGGACTGAGGCAGGGCTGGCATCCAGCCCAGGGAACGACTTGCATGTGGCTGGACCATCTAAGCGTGGAGAACCTGGCTAGTGGAGCACCACCTCATCTTCCATCCTCCAACCTCTCCTGGCTCTGGCTTCCTCTCACTTGCAGCCCTCTAGGGGCTTGTCACTGCATGCCTGGCTCTCTCCATGCCCTGACTATACTTTTTAGTCCTCAATAAAGGGTTCCCCACTCCCACCATTTCAGCTGCCACTTTCATCTCCTCCCATAGACTGGACCCAGATCTGGAGCCCTGACCACTTCCATACCCCACCTCATCCCTTATTCCAGACTCCAGGCTTCTGCCTTGTCTCTGACCTGTATCCCTTCTACCTTCCCACTCCTTGTGCTCAGCTACAGCAATGTCAAGTTCCTTAACGCCAAGCTCAGAGGACATTATCTCAACCTCTTTGTGTCTCAGAAATGTGTCTGCTTGCTGGGCTCCTGTCAGTGTGGCTCTGCTGACCTGGGCATTGGTCCTGGCTCACTCAGCCGTGTCCTCCTGCAGGCTCCTGTAGATCTCCATGAGCTGCGCCAATTTCACTTCCAGCTGCTGAGCCCGCTGCTGCCGCAGATCTTGAGCTGACTAGGATGGGGCGCCCTCGTGCAAGTGTTTTGACTCTTGGGCAAGGCTGACCACATCCATCAGAAGGAAGAGTCCAGAGGTAGCTGCACTTGCAATGCAGGCTCCCTTGGCCATGGCCAGAGCAGTGCCCCCAAAGGCACTCTGCACCTGCCTAGTGCTGCGGGCTGAGATCTTCCCTGTGGTCACGAGGCGGTTGGCACTGTCCATCAGGCAGATGTTGTTCCATGTAATCCGATGGCACAGACATTCTTCCTGACATCTTCAGTGAACTTCCTGGTTGTACTGCTCACTTCGAGGGGCTCCGACACACAGCCTTTGCAACCAGCTCCACTTGGTTGATACTGCTCGACGTGAGGCTGCCAGCTTCAGCTTCATTGGATGCCCTTGTTGCAGGGACCGTGATGGCAGTAGAGGCACCATTCATGGTTGCTGCTGTGCCCAGCGCTACCCTGTGTCCTGAGCCATCCTGGGGTCGCTGTGTGATGTTCAGACCTCAGTTTTCCATATGAGGAATAGATTCAGAGGATGCATGGCTGGGTGTCCTGTGTCAGGAGCCGTGTACTATAGCCACGCTGAAGCCATTTTGAATATAAAACTATGTGTTGCGGCCAGCAGAGCCAGTAACGTGGACACGGCGAGGGTCTGCGGATGAAACACCGACAGGACACCAGTAATGCTGGAAGAAGTCTCTCTAGCCTCCCTTTAGTATGCCATATATACTTTCGCCCCCAAGCCCTTTAACAGGATGCTAATGAGTCTGATTAGAGCAGGTGCCACTAGCCTCAAGCCCATTTCCTGCAGGTGCTCAGCTTAAGGAATGCTAATCAACTCCTTAGCCCACAACAGCTATGGGCCAGTGGAAAACCCCCTGGCTAGATGCTTGGGAAAGAAGTTAGGAAACTAATCACAGCTTAGCTTCAATTGTTTCTAGCAACTGTTTGAGAATGTGATTTATGCTGTCCCTGCCCACATCCTGTTACTGGTTACTTACACTATTGTTGATACGTTGGTTACTATGGTTGATATGGTGGCTGCTCAAGAACAATCGGTCTTGAGACCTGGCCTGCGTCCCAGTTTCTCCTTTCCTCCCTGAGCCCTAGTTACTGAGGAATATAAAAACCCTCAATTAAAATCAATAAACTGACAGATTGATCAGACATCTGTCTTGCTGTCCATTCTTCGTGTATCCTAAGTTGGTTGCGACCCCTGTTGACTGTCCTGCTGGACGGGACAGTCCTGATTCTGAGTGATTGGCCCACAGGCTGTTCCTGGCTGTCCCTGTGGTGTGATCAGTCTCAGATTAGTCTACCTCTTCAGGGGCA